TGGCGGCAACGGCGCCGCCCGCGCGGACTGCGGCCACCACGTGGAGCTTGATCCACACGGCGCCCTGGCGCCGAGGGGCGAGACCGATGGCGCGCGAGCCCTGCTCGGCAGCTGCACGTCGGCAGGCGGGGCCGTGGGCGCGGCGACGCGCGCGTCGATGTCGCCTACTCCATCGCGAATTTGTGCTCGCCTAAATGAGAATGCGCCGCCCACTACTGTCCACCGCGGCGGCGTCGGTCGCGGCGACGCATTCGACGCTCGGAAGCGGAAATGTTGCACGATTGCTTTGCAGGGGCTACTTGCCAAAGGCAACGAGTCCTGTAGCAAAGCGTTGTTGTTCTGTTGCGCGATTACTGCGGCGGCGCGTCCGAATTGCCAAGCCGCGCCCTGCGCTCGCGCCCTGAACATCTCGTCAAGAAGCATCTACAACGCGCTGAAAACACGTTCACGAATCGCCGCGACCCGATGCAACGCGACCATGATTGCTCGAGCAAGTGCAACGGGCCCTGGCCCCGCAACACCACGGCATCCCCAGGGCCCCACCAAGGCAGACCGCGGACTGCACTGAAGCGAGGAAACGGCTGCATTCAAGCGAGGGCGCGGCCGTACTACAGCGAGGCTACGGCGTTACTAAAGCGAGGAAGACGGCTCTAGTGCAAGCGCGCCGTTCCATACATTCTAAAACCCGACGTTCCACTCAAGCGAAAAGAGAGCTTCAGTGAACTTCAGTGATGCGGAAAGACGGCCAGGGTAAAACTGGACACAGAAATTTCGCTCCACCCATAAAATCTGGGGCTCCGGGAACGCGGGCGGAGCGCAAGTTTGCCCGTGGGCCCAGGCCCCGTCGCCGCTGTCGCCGCGGCGTTCGTCGCCGCCGTCGCCGTCGCCGCCGTCGTCGTCGCCGTCGGCGCAGACGTCGCCGCCGTCGTCGCCGTCGCCGTCGCCGTCGTCGCCACGACGCACGCGCATCGGCGTTAATGCCAGCAGCGGGTCGCGCGCGACCATGCATTGCGCTTGCGCGCCCGCTCCCCAAACGGGGGCCAGGCTGGACATCGCGTTCTTCATTCTATCCCACCCACAACTTCCCCGAAGGAATAACGGGAAAAAGACGCCACTGAGGCGCTGCCAGGGCCGCCAGCGGCGCGGGCGCCGCGGGCGCGGCCGGCGCTGCGCCCCCCACTCCTGCCGCACGGGCCAGCAACGTAGTCGCCAGACCTGCAGGTTGGCGCCCGAAAGCACAGGCGCGAGGCCCGAAACCGCACCCGCGTTCGGACGTCGCCGCCACAGTTCGGCCACGCGCGGGCCAGGGGGGGCGAAGAAGACGAGGCCCCCGCCCAGCCAGACCAACGGCAGCGCCCCACTGCCTGCCGCGAGCCGTCGGATGAAGCTCTCGGCGAAGCTGCTGTGGCTAGCCGCGACGCTGCCGTCGCCGGAGTCGGCCGCCCGTCGCTCCGGGGGTTGGCGTTCTGCGCCGGGTCGCCATCGCAGGGCCCCTAACAATAGAATGGGGAATTCCAAATGCCACTTGTCACCCAAACCGCGCGCGCGCCCGGCGCCGGCCGCCGGGCGGCTGGCCCGGGCGCCCCCCGATGTCCCAGTTGCGCGCGCGGCGAGGACGTCAGCGGCACTGGCGGCGCCGATGGGGCCGGGGCCCCGAGGTGGAGGGCGCGCCCGCGCCGGCGGCGCCAGGGGCAATCGCGCGCGAGGCGCTCGGAGTCGCACTCGCGGCAAATAAGACGCGCCCCATCAGGGCCACGCGCGTCGCCTCGACGGCTAGAGCCCGCGCCGCTGGCCCCGAACTCCCCCGCCCCCCTTACCCTCGCCCTCCCCGAAGCCAACGAAGGCTTCCCGGAGGTCGTTTTCGGGCAGGTCTGCAGGGAAGGCGCGGCGGCCCCTGCCAGAGCCCTTCTCTTTGCGCGCGAGAACTCTCCAGACGCGGCGCGCGGGCACGCGGCCGTCGACGCTGCGCCATCGAGGCTCGGCGCGCCCGCGGGCCCAGAAGCGGCGCGCGCCACGATGTTCCGCAGGAGTGTCTCGTAATTCGGGATCATGCACAGCGAAGTCCTCGCCGAATGAGCCGGCGGCGTCGGAGTCGGCGCCTGAATCGACGCCCGCTGCCGGGCATGCACCCTGCGCCAGCGGCGCCGCGCCAGCGACATCGTCGCTAGGCACGACCTCCGCGCGTGGGAAGGGGGGCTCGGCGCTGCTCCCCCGGCAGCGGGGCCACCGCCACCCCGCCCCGATCCAGCCGCAGCGCCACAGGCACTGCGAGCCTGATTTTGCCCAGGCGTTCAACGAACGGCCGAGACGAGGTCGACCGGCGAGGTCGGCCGTCGCAGCTGGCTGGCCACGCGTGACAGATGCCTTGTATCATCGGGCAAGCCACGACGTAGCGCTGCAGGGCCATGGTGAGTCGCGCGTCCGATGCGCCCACCGCGCGCAGCAAGGGGTAGCAAGGCCCTCGCGGCCGATCACGAGTTGACCAGCCTGCTACGCTCTGTTGACCAGCCTGCTGCGCCCCTCCGAAAATAGGTCGACGTTCGCCAGGGCCGATACCGCCTGGGCGCGCTCCTCGTAGCCTAGGTGGCCCCACCGTTCGGCCAGGCTGCGCATCGGGAAGGTGATGGGAGGCAATGAGCCACCGTTGATGCGACCTCCTTGGCTCGGGACAGCGGGCGGCCACTCGTCCGCGCACTCGCGCGTCATGCCAGCGAGGCGAGACGAGACGCAGGCCGCTTGGCGGAACTCGTCGAGGTCTGAGTTCGCCACTGACCAGGCCATGACCTCCCGCGCCCAGCATCGAAAAAGCACGCGCTCTTGTTGCTCGGGCCCCCAGGTGCGGAGGCGTCGCACGTTGCCGCCACCGTCGCCACCAGCCTCCACGCATGCGACGCAGCTGGCGGCAGCGACCACGCCCACTCCGATGGCCTTCCATCCAAAGCGGAGCCCCCTGCATGCATCGGGGGAGAAGCTGGAATCCTTGAACCCGCCAGCGGCGATGCTCAGGTAGACTGCCTCGGAGCCGTCGTGGGTATCTGACCCGCGCGTGCTCTTCCTTGTCAGCGCATTGGGCATGTTTTCCGTCACGTGGTTGCGGTGCGATCGGCGCTCGAAACATCCCACAACATAGTCATGGGAATGTTAGTCGCGCGTCGCGTTGCAACTGTATTGATCACCGCCAAATGCACTATAGTCCAAAAGAGTCTGCATCGGGATCCAGGTCTGCCAGGCAGCGGCTGCGCGATGAATGCGGAACTCAATTTTCCGGGGGATCGGAGACGGATGGTTCCTGACTGTCTCTGTGGCCCCCCAGCGTGCTGACAACATCCTCGTCAGACCTTCCAATATCGCCCCGATCTCCTCCGCCTGCGCTCCCCCCGGCCCTGGCGACACAGCCACCGGGAGCTCGAGACGCTTCGCCAACGCCGCAGATGTGAGCGTCGCATCGGACAGCTGCCTGACACCTCGGCGACACCCACAGGCGGATGCAGTGGAGGCGTCCTGTCCGTCTCCCGTCTCCCAGGGCTCCTGCAGCACAGTCGCAAGAAGATCGGTGCCCTTCGCCAACACCGTAGCGTGAGCATTGCGTCAAGCAGCTGTCTGGCGCCAGGGGCTACACCCGCACGCGAGTGAAATAGTGGCACTGGTTCTGCGACCTGTTCAGCCGTAGTCTGGGCAAGCCTGGGAGGAATCGCCATGGGGCGAGGTGCGGGGCGCGGCCTTTGGAGTTGATGTTCTCGGAAATGTATATGTGCGCCTCACCCGTAGACCTTCCTGGCGGCTGGACGGGGTCCGCCCTGACGGTCCCTAAAGAACCGTCGCCTGCCGCGAGAACGGATGAAAGAGAATGAATGAACCGTTGAGAACGGCGAACCCAGGGTCCTTGAAGAGGTTGTCCTCGGTGACGTTGGCGAACACAGTGGGGAAGCGGGACCTTGGCGGTCGACGCGGCGCGAAAGCGAGAAGCCATGCAGGACACGGCTGCGTGGAAGGGAGCCAAAGCTCCACGACCAATTTAAAAAACGTGATCAAGAAGGGAAAGCAACACGGACGCGGAAGGAGCCTCTGTGAGCACCAAATGGCGGCGGGAAAAATAGGCAGAGAGAAGGCAGGTCTACCGTTCGAGTAAGGGGAGGGCGAGGGACATGAGGAGGGGGAATAGGGAAGGGGTGGAAGAGACTGGGAGATCGGCGGTCTGAGGAGCCTGCCCGTCGGTCGGAAGAAGTTGGTAGAAACATGAAGTAGGAAGGCGTTGGAGCAGGGTGGGTTTCTGCCCGCCCTCGAAACATGAAGGAAAAGGGAAACACGCTCGTTGATTGAAGCAGGGAGGCGCGTTAAGTAGATTGGGATCTGGGTAATGCTGCCCCCTGGCTTTCGCTTCATAACTCAACTCTCAGGCGGCCCGTCGGGACGATCCGACCCCCACCCGGGGGCGCGCCCCGTGAGGCACAGCTGCTGGAACGTACCGGCACCCCGGGGCTTGAGAGCCGCCGAGAAACGACGACGGCGCCCGAAAAAACATCGAGCACCCATTCTTGAGGAGCGTTCGCTCCCCATGACCTGATGTTTGACGTGAGCCTCTGCTTCATCGCCAGTGGACCTTCTGAAAGGCCCGGGGGCCCGACGAGGGAGGGCCCCTGGAGGCCGAAGGCAGCAAGAACTCTCCCGTCGTGATCTGCTCACCACGGCCGGACCCAGGACAGAAGAACGTCTCGCAAGAGCACGGGACCCTCCGTCGGCCCCTCCTCCTCCTCCTCCTCCCACTCCTCCTCCTCCTCCTCCTCCTCCTCCTCCTCCTCCTCCTCCTCCTCCTCCTCCTCCTCCTCCTCCTCCTCCTCCTCCTCCTCCTCCTCCTCCGCCTGGATGCACAAGAAGATCCAACCAGCACGAAGAACATCAGGGCACGCTCCCAAAACCGAACCAGACCTCATGCCTCGGTCCGACCGTGCGCGAGCATGTCTGGGGAGGTCGGCGGTGTGAGGAGCGTCCCCTTCCCCTGCTGTGGTGGACTCGGCCGCTGGCCCACTTGACGAGGTTGCTCATCAGGCCCTGGTCCGAGGAGACCGCCACCCTCATGGCGGTGTCGCGGGCCGACCTCACGAACCTGTCGGCGCACGCGGGGTCGACGAAATTGGCGAACGCGTACCTCTCGGGCGCCGACACGGGCACCCCTGGCCCGATGGGGAGGGGAGGAGGAAAGAACAGGAGGAGGAGGAGGAGGAGGAGGAGGAGGAGAGAAAGAGGAGGAGGAGGACGGAAAGAGGAGGAGGATAATGAGGGAGGACGAGGAGGAGGAGGATAATGAGGGAGGACGAAGAGGAGGAGGAGGAGGAGGAGGAGGAGGAGGAGGAGGACTGCCCTGAACTGTTTTGCCAACACACAAAGACCGCAGAGGATTGGGCCCCTATCGGCGGTCAATGAGCGATTGGGGGCGATGCATCACCCTCTGAGTCTATCCCCCCACACATTGCCCCGGAGTGGCCCTCTGGGCCTCGCGGAGGGGGATGGAGGCCGTGGGGGCCTACTTGGAAATTTCTGAGACACCTTCACCCTTGAACTCCTCTGGCAGCACGGGAACTTACGCGACACCTGGGCACCCGAGGCATACACCAGTCTGGAAGTTCCGAGGAACGAACAGGTAGTCGCACCCCTGCATGCAGCCATGCGCCTCCATCCACTTCGTCAGCTGACTCTTGGTGCAGTCCGCCGTCAGATTCGAGAGGAAAAGGGTGACCTGCATGACGAGGAAAGAAGAAGAAGAAGAAGAAGAAGGAGGAAATGAAGGAGGAGGAGGAGGAGGAGGAGCAGGAGAAGGAGGGGGAGCAGAAAGAGGACAAAAAGGGAGGACGAGGGGGACCTCTGTCGGACTTGCGTTCGCCACTGCCCAGACCCCAACGCGGTCCGCTTCGCAGGTGTTGGCAACCATCCCGCGCGAGCCCAAGATTATGCTCCTGGATGTGATGCTCGAGCTAAAACAGCCACGCTGGAGCGACCCCTGCAGACGTGCGCCCCCGAACGCACGGGGCAAAGACGACCCGAGAATGTTTAATTTTGTTGATGCTCGCATTGCAAGCCTGGGACTCACAGAGCGCAAGTTGCATACCAGAACTGCCCAGAAAACCGTTGATCAACCACGGCTGGCAGATGACGTTTCTGGGAGAAAAAAAAAACTGGAGCGGCCCCGAGCGTCGTGTAGGCCATGTTTGGCCATCCTGGGCTCGCTTGGTGCTTTGAGCGGAGCCGAGGAGAAAAAATGGGACTCGAACCATGGATATCCAGAGATCTGGAGGTAGGACGACGGTCACCTCCACGGAGGGGGCGGTGACCTACCATATCGGTCTCGGTAATCACTTATCTGGACGAACAAAAAAACAACATCACCACCCCCACAATCAAACCGTGGCCCCGCTGGCCGATGACCCCCCCCTCCCCTCGGAAAGGCTTGGTGCCGTCTCCTCCGGGCCTCGTGGCACCGATTCCCCCCCTCACGCTGCAAGAGCGGGCCTGCCCTGTCCCAAGTGAGGGGCTAGGACGGTCCTGATGATGAAGGATATGTGAGCCTCCCAGTGCCCCGAAAGATTGCTGGGGGGCAAAAATAAGTGGGGGCTGGCATAAAAAGGTACACATCGACCTGGAATCGGCGATACATCGCCGATAGATCCGTGATAAGCTAATTTACTGGCTACCCTGCTGCTACAGGCGAAAAACCGTTATCTTTCCGGAAATACCACAGACTGACTCCCGCTACGACCTTGCCGGAAATACCACAGGCTAATTCCCGCTAACTTGCCAGAAATACCACAAGCTACGCGCCACTACTTTTCAGGAATGTCATAAACAAATTGACTGGTTGCCCTACTGGAACACCACTACTACAAGAAAAACGGCGCTACCTTGCCGGAAATACCACAGGCTTATTCCCGCGACCTTGCACGAAATACCACAGTCTAGTTTGCTGGCGACTTTTCAAGAATACCACGAACTCATGTACTTGCTACCCTACTGGAGCACCGCTACTACAAGCAAGCTGCCGCTACCTTGCCGGGAACACCACAGGCTAATTCCCGCTAACTCACTGGCTAATTCCCGCAAGCTATCTTTGAGAAATACCCCAAACTAGTTCACTGGCTACCCTACTGGAACACCACTACTACAAGCAGATTGCGCTACCTGCCGCTACCTCGCTGGAAATACCAGGGAGGCTAGTTCCCGCGACCTGTCAGGAATATCACAAGCTAGTTTACTGGCTACTTTTCAGAAACCAGAAACTAATCTACTGGCTACCCCACTGGAACCCCACTACTACAAGCAAATTGCCGCTGTCTTGCCAGAAACGCCACAGGCTGATTCCCGCTACCGTGCCAGAAATACAACAGGCTACACGCCGTTACTTTTCAATAATGCCACAATGTACTGGCGATCCTACTGGAACACCAATACTACAAGCAAATTGCAACTACCTTGACGGAAGTACCACAAGCAAATTCCTGCTACCCTGCCAAAAATGGCACAAACTACGCGCGGCTACCTTCCTGGAAATGCTACAAGCTAATTCCCGCTACCTTGCCAGACATACCGCAGGCTACGCGCCGCTACTTTTCAGGAATACCACAAACTTGTGTACTGGCTACCATGCTTGAACACCGCAACTACAACCAAATCGCTGCTAGTTTGCCGGAAATACCGCAGCGCAAAGTCCGCTACCTTGAAGGAAATACCACATGTTATACTGCTGGCAAATTGCCGCTACCTCGCAAGAAATACTACAGGCGAATTCCCGCTACCACAAACTAATTCCCGCAAGCTAACTGCTGCTACCGTGCCAAAAATACCACAGGCTAATCCCTGCGACCTGTCAGGAGTACCACAGGCTGGTTTACTGGCTACTTATACCACTGGCTGCTTTACTAGCTACCCTACTGGAACACCACTACTGCAAGCAAGATGCCGCTACCTGGACAGAAATATCACAGGCTAGTTCCTGCTACCTTGCCGGAAATACCACAGGATACGCGCCGCTACTTTTCAGGAGTGCCACAAGCTAATTAACTGGCTACCCTACTGGAACACCGCGACTACAGGTAAGCTGCCGCTACCTTACTGGAAATACCACAAGCCAATTCCATTCCCGCTACCTTGCCGGAAACACCAGCTACGTGCCGCTACCTTGCCAAAAATTATTCAGGCTATTAATTCCCGCTGCTTGTCGGAAATACCAAGAAGGCTACGCGCCGCTACTTTTCAGGAAAATCAAAACTAATACTGGCTACCCTACTTGAACACCACAACTATAGGCAAGATGCCGCTGCCTTGCCCGAGACACCACAGGCTAAATGCCCGCTACCTTGAAGAGAACACCACAGGCTATACTACTGGCCAATCCATGGGGCCGCGCAGTCCGGCACCCTGAACTGGTAGAAGCAGTCGGCGATGTTCTGCATGAAGAATTCCAGCTGAACGTCGGGCTCCGCCCCCAAGCCCACCGGCGCCGCCGTCGACGCCAAGTGGATCGAAGCGGGCCGCTTCAGCGCCTGGTTGACCGCCCTCGCGTCCACAATCAAGCGAATCTTGCCCGATTTCTTCTTCACGAAGAATATTCCCACTTCAGAATCTCGACGCGCGCGCATCTCGACCATGTCCCGCTGCAGCAAGTCCTGGACGAAGGCCACGCGCTCGTCTCCGCTGTCCCACAGGGTTTTATCCCTGTACACCTTGGCGGCGTTAGGGCGGACCTCATCAGCGCAAAATAAAAGCGAACTCTCACCGTCGATCACCTCCTGGTGATCTGGCTCCGGCAGCACCTCCAGCAAGCTCACGCAGCCCGACGACTCGGGCCATGAAACCAAATCGCAATCGCACGGCGCATCCACAATAGGGCCATCTGGATTGCAGCCCAAAGTCCCAGCCGAGCAACTCCTTCAGGGCTGCCTCGGGGCTAAGGATGTCCTCGGGCGGTTTGTCGTCAGCGACCGCAGCCCAAATCAGATCCACAGCTGAAAAATGCGCCTCCGAAGGACGAGCCTCCGAGCAGAAGTCGCCGTCCCGCGCAGGTTGTCGAGGGCGGCGACGCAGTCGTTCAGGCGGCGGCCGACGGGAGTCTCTCGGCCGAGCGTCTGCGCGGCACGCCGAGGAAGGGCCCTCGACCCGCGAGCTGGTTTGAGAGGCGATGTGGGCAGCGGCAGCAAGTCCTTGGCACCATGCGTCCCAGGTGGCTTGTTGGAACCGGCTGAGGTCGGCCACCCCCCAGCCTCGTCGCTCTTCATGACTTAGGAGGAGCCCGCGCCAGAGCCCTCTCCTCTGCCGCCTTGCGCTCCTCCTTCAAGATCGCCGACTTCCTGGCCGCCGACTCGGCGACCCACTTCAGAAGCTCCGGGCACGCGATCGCCCCGCCAGTGCGGCGCGCCCTGCCCAGGTAGCAGTCCTGCGCGTCGAAATCCTTGCCAGCCTCATTATTTTTCTTCTTCTTCTTCTTCTTCTTCTTCTTCTTCTTCTTGACTTTGTGCTCTATGAGCTGCATGTGCCGCGCTAGTGCTTCCAGGCTGGCCAGGTTGGCCACGTCCACCAGGTCGTAGGTACAGGCCAACTCCAAGATCTCCGACAACATCTCATGGGCCACGACGCTGTGCTCGTCATCGTTCAGCTTGTTCTCGTGTTTCCACGTCGTGCGTCGCTGCACCGGGCCCCCGCTCATCTCGGCGATCTCCGAAACCACATAGAACGTCGTCCGCGGCCCCGATAGGACCAAATCGTCGAAATCGCTCTTCTCTGACCTCTCCGCAACACCCCTCAAGGTGCGAAACCTCATCCCCGCCGAGTCGCGCAAGATCGCCAGCGTCCGCGCATCCTCTTGGGCCGCAGGCGGCGTCCGCGTTCCCATCGGCGCATCCGAGGGCGCAGGCAGCGGCGACGACATCATCTGCATTGCCTCCTTAAGCGCATCATCACCGCGTTCTGGCCCTTGCGCCCCACGTCGTAGACGCCGTGCCGCCCCGTACCGACGAAGAACTCCGAGGGAGTGTCCAGCACGTCGGGCACCGAGACCACCTTGCCTTTGCGGACCTCGTCGGAACCGATGATGCAGCACAATCAGCGCGCGGGCGACCAGCAGCGGGCGGCGGTTCCTCTGGAGGCCCCAGCGGCAGCCTTTGCCCAGGTTCGGGCCCAGGCTCCTTGATCGGCAAACCCAGCTCCTCGCGGGCCCTGGCCGCCAGCGCCGCACCCTCCTCCAGCAGGTCATCCAACCCTTCCTCTTCCAGCTTGTCGCGGAAGCGGTACACCGGCTGCCCGCGCGCATCGCCCAGCCCAGGCGGCAGGCCGCCGCGTGGCCCCGCCTGCCTGAAGTCCGCCACGTTGTCCGTGTCGAATATCTCCTCGTATACGTCCCGATCCGGTGTGACTATGATGTATGTGACCCCCGAGACACAGGCCAGGATCACACGCTTATGACAGGGTTCCCACACCTCGCCGAAGTCGACGAAGAGAACGTCCCTTAGCTGCAGGTTCAAGGCCCGCGTGGCAGCTTTCCTCTTGGGCGCCATCCATCAGCGCCGGCGTCGCCCTCAGGGGAACGTCAGCACCTCGGCCAGCACTGCCCACCAAGAACCTGACCGACAGGAGGAAGCCACACACCGTCGACTGCAGCGCCAAGACCGCAAGGATGCCCAGCAGGAAGCTCACAGCCGCGCCGATCACCGCCGAGCCCAGCGGCACGGGCGCCCCCCAGACGTGAGTCTGCGAGAGACATGCGTTGGCGGTCGTCGAGATCGCCAGGGCACACGGAGAGACGCGATCGAGGCCTGACGAGGGCGCTGCGGGGGCCAAAGCAATCTGAGGGAAGTATGAGCCCCAGCCGAAATCACCCATCCGCCGCCACGAAAAAAACCGCTTGAGCCGCAAGGGTAGCGGCCAGGCGCATCAACAACAGCATTGCGCGCTCTGTTTCACTGGGGACCCTGTTACACAGCGCTGCTACAGGAGGGAGAGAGGAGGCTGGAAGGTGCACTGTTCCGCATCCTCGGCCACTACTTTCTTTCTATCTCTGCGCGCTGCGGCGGGCACAGCCGCCCGATTCACTTTAAATGCTCATTCTGGGGGCCTTGTTGGAGCCAATCGATCCGCTCGTGCGTCGAAGCTGCGTCGAACGTCCGTCGACTCGAGTCGAACCTGAGTCGAACCTGAGTCGAACTTGAGTCAAACTTGAGTCGAACTTGAGTCGAACTGGGGTCGAAATAGAATCGAACAGATCCGTTAGATTGGCCCCAGGAAGGTCCCAAGAACGAGCATCTAGCGACTCACTGCACGAAGTGCGGCACGGCGGAGTCGTACAGCACCCCGCACATGCCGCACACCCGCACCTTCGCGGGACCGCCCTCGCACGCGGTGCCCACCTTGCGGGCAAGAATTATGCCTAGGTTGGGCCTGTCCTCCTACAGGCGGATCATGGAAGAAAACGAAAACATTCAAACGATACTCCAAAACAGTCGTAAGAGCACGAAACATCGTCACCAGACTATTCTACCATTCTTGAATAGTCCTCCTGTAGAGGGACATGCCTGCCCGACTTAAACTTGATGCCGGGGAAAAAAATAAACGCAACAGCCTCCCATCCGGGGGCTTTCGCCGGGTCTCAGGACCGAAACGGCCAGGGATGAAAAAACTACCCTGGGAGGGGGTCGGGACTTCCAGGAGCCGCGAGTCGAATACAAACAAGACAACGCATGTCTGGGTCCATATCCACTGTGCCTCGGATGATCGGACTCCGAAAAGCAGTGGATGTGGGTAAAAGTCTGGCCACTGGCGAGGCCAAAATTCTTTGCAGATCCCTCGAGTCTCTCGTTGTCCGCATACAGTCCCCGAACAACCAAAGACGCCGTGGGATTGGACATCAGTCTTGCGCGCACACCTCCGGCTGGCTGTCGGTGCCGCACCGCTCGTTGTCGTCGTCCCGCCGCAGCAGCTTTATCCTCGGAGGAAGTACGGGTACCGACACCGCTACTTTGGGGGTCTCCTGGGAGGCCCTCGTGGCCACGGCTGGATCTTCGCCTTGAAGTTCTGGCCAGAACTTGGTGGCGCGCCAAGGGGGGTAGGGGGAGGGGGGAAGGCTTCTTGGAAGGACGCTGCTTCTTAGAAGGCGCTGGCCCTACATTTACAGAGAAGGCCCGCGCCTGCTGAGAAGCAGGGGTGCTTCTATAAAGCCTCTCCCCCTCCCCCACACCCCCCTCTGCGCGTGGCCGAAGCCCGCCGCAGACCTGTTTGGGCGTCGTCGCCTCTCTTCTGGGCCTCCCCTGGCCGCCCTCGTCGCCGCAGCGGGGCCCGCGTCGAAGCTCTCATCGGAGCACGCCCCTGGACAGGTCCGGAGAGCCCCGAAAGGGGAGGCCAAAGACTCAGACCTCCAACGTCTAGAAGCAACCAAGGCTGGGTGGAGGGCCAAAAAAGCACCCTCATGACAAGCACCCCGACGAGCGAAGCCCTCCGTAAACGCGCCCAGGGAAGGGATCGCAGAGGGCGGCACTGTTTCGTAAGCGCCCAACGCTGTTCAGCAAACGCCGATTGTGGGGGCCGGGGGCGGGCTTCTCCTCGCCGTGAGGCGAACGTCACAGACATCAGCGGTTGGAGGCCCACGCGGATTTCTTGGTTCCGCGCGTGGCCGAAGAGCGCACCCCTGGGAGAGGTCTGGGGGGCGGCGGCAGCGGTGTCCCCTGACTTCCCCGGGAGCCTGCCCTTCTCGCCCCAGCCGCTGCCCCAAGAGTTCTGGATCAGCCAGTACTTCTGCCCCTGCCAGAGGAAGAGAGAGAGAGGGAGAGAGCAGCATTCGGGGATGGCCAGAGCCCCCTTTAACAAAACGTGGCTTAGTGAAAACGACCTCGGGCCCAAACCTGGCGGGCGCAAGCCTGGAAAATGACGGCCGCGGCGCCCTCTCGAGAACCGACAACGGAAAATTCACGAATCGACGTGTCAGGGTGGGGGTTCTGTCCACCCCCGAAGCATATGGGAAGCACAAGAGCACACTAGTACGATGTGTCCTCTTCGGAGGCGCGCGTCCGAACCGAGTCTACAACGGAACCATACTGCAGTGTTTCGTTTCCCGAGCGGTGTGGCCAAAAACCGCCCGCCATGGAGCTCATTCTAGAAGATTTCTCGGCGCGCGCGGCGCCCCTGGGGGCGACGCACACATAGTATAAATATGTGGGTGTGACGCCGAGCATAATCCGCCGACCCCGTGGGGTTCATCGGCGTGTGAGATCTTCCCGGGACCCCTCCCCCGGGAGCCCGGTCCGGTCGATTTGGGGGGTGGGGGGGGGTCCGGCCAAATTCCCCGATTCCCCCGATTCCCCCGATTCCCCCGATTCCCCCGGGGGGGTCATCCGCTCCCGAAAATCCTACAGGGACTCCTCCGGTGGCCTCGAAATGGCCCCGGGGCGCACCACGACGGCTCAAGAGGACCTCCACATGGCCTTCAGTGGCTCCAAGATGCCCCAATATGGGCTCAAGACAACTCACGATGCCTCCAAGACGCTCCAAGAGGCCCCGAATTGGCGCTCCAAGAAGGTCCACAGCAGCGAAAATCAATGATTTTCCATTGGGAAGCGTACATAGCATCGACGACTTTTCAGCCTGCACAGAGTTCCAGCCAGTCTAAGAGGCCCCCAAGGCCACCCCATGACGTCCCAAAATGGTCCCAAAAGGCGCCCAAGACGGCCCAAAACGGCGCCAAGACGGCCCCAGAGGCTCCCGAATCGGCCCAAAATAATCCCAAGACGGCTCCTAGAGGGGCCCCAGCGGCGGAGCCCGAACCGAAAATCCGAGCCTTCCGCTCCCACCTGGACACCCCACGAGCCGCCCAAAAGGTCCCAAGAGACCCCCAAAAGACCTCCAAAGAGAGTCCGAGAGGCCCAAAAGAGGCCCCAAGAGGTCCCAAAACGGCGATCAGTGAACTTCGAAACTACCTCCACGAAGCCTGCGAGATGCCTCCCCAGAGATCCCCCAGAACCCCCCAGGGACCTCAAACCGGAGATTTGCCCCCCCCCCCCCCCCCCCCGGGCCCGGCACGAGCGCATCACGGGACTTTTCCGGGGTCAAGAGGGCCTAAACACGGGCCAAGAAGGCCCCCCAAAAAACCTCCGAGACGGCCCACGAGAGCTCCGAGACGCCAAACGACCTCTCCGACTTCGGTAGTCTTCTCTTGCACGCGCCGCTCCTGTCGCCTTTTGATGATTCCCCACCTGTTGCTGCTGCAAATGTTTCGTATCCGAGAACGCTCCTCCGCACGCCGCGCACGTCACGTCGCACCTCGTTCTCTCGCCCCTCCGCGCATTTCTGACAGAGCCTCTCCCCCGATGAATTGTGTTTCTTCTGTGCACCCGACATGTCCGCCTGCTCTTTCAACAGCGTCTGACATGTCTTGCTCGAACGCATTTAAGGGGTCGGCGGATGTGGCGCAAGCCTGAAGAATCATATTCTTCTTAAGACGAAGCCAGGGCGAGGACAAACTCGGATGAGAAAATGAATCGAGAATCTCTGAGATCCGGCGGCTCTGGAGAATGTCTCGGGCGCCGCGGCCTTTTCAATGCGTTCCAGAACGCTCTGAGAGCGTTCCGGAATGCACTGGAACGAATTGATCCTCGTCCTGGCCCCATCCGGCTTCTGGAGATCAGCAGAGATCTCTCGGAAGGCCCCTTTGAGGCTTCACCTGGGCCGCCCCTGGCGCGCTCCGCGCGCCACGGAGAAGGGCCGCAGAGAAGTGTGTGGTTGCGCCTCTTTTCTTATTTGACCTTCTGGACGCCGAGGCCAATCAGAGTGACCGCGTGGTCGATGACCGCGTCCACGGAGCAGGAATCGAACACACCACTCGCGTACATGTACCTCGGAGGAAGAACCTCGGAGGAAGGCCAGCTGCGACAGCGGTTGCACTCCCGCCAAGCCCGAATCAGCCAAAGATCGGTCCCTGGGCTCCTCCAGGGGTCCATCCTGACCCGCTTTTCGGCGCGGATCCAGCCGTGGACGCGAGAGGCCTCAAACAAATCCGCCGACCCTTCGGCGTGTGTGAGACGCTGTCATCGTCTTCGTCGTCGTCGCTGACCCCAAAGGAAAGTGAGAAACGAACATAGAAACGAAACGACGTAGCTTAGTCAATTCCCTCCCCTTGTCCCCTCCCTGACCGGGTGGGCTGGGGGTAAGGGTCAAGACACCCCCTCTGCCCCCAGCCGTCTTCCTCACTCCCACCCGCCCTCCAAACGCATATGAGTAGCACCCGAGTCTCTGCATGCCGCCTGGGAAGGCCACAGATTGCAGTGTGCGCCACGGGCTCCAGGTGCACCAGGCACCCCGTGGGCTCAGGCGTGGCAGCGTGGGCAGCAAGGCGTCTCTTTTTCAAACACCGATGCAAAATGGACGCTGGACGCCTGCGCGTGCTCCAGATGTGGAGACAAAATGTACTTCCCACCCATCCTGCGGGGTCGTCGCTTTGAAGAGACAGCGCCCTGCGTCTCATTCCCTCCTCCTCCTCCCCCTCCTCCTCCTCCTCCTCCTCCTCCTCCTCCTCCGCCTCCTCCTCCTCCTCCTCCTCCTCCTCCTCCTCCTCCTCCTCCTCCTCCTCCGCCTCTTCCGCCTCCGCCTCCGCCTCCGCCTCCGCCTCCGCCTCCGCCTCCGCCTTCACCTCCACCTCCGCCTCCTCCCCCTCCTCCTCCTCCTCCTCCTCGTCCCTCCTCCCTTCTCCGAAGTTCGCATGCGCCTCCCGGCTCCAACGACGGTCCCAGTGGCGCAGTCCGCATGCGGTTCCCCCACCCAGTACAGCGTTGCGTGGCCTCATGGGGAGCTCCACCGAAGGTCACAGTGGCGCAGTCCGCATGCGGTTCCCCCGCCCAGTACAGCGCTTCGTGGCCCCGTAGGGAGCTCCGCCGAAGGTCCCAGTGGCGCAGTCCGCATGCGGCTCCCCCACCCAGTACAGCGTTTCGTGGCCCCAAAGGGAACTCAATCGAAGGTCCTAGTGGCGGAACTCGCATGCGGTTCCCCTGCCCAGTACAGCGTCTCGTGGCCCCCGAGGGAGCTCCACCGAAGTCCCAGTGGCGCAGTCCGCATGCGCTTCCCCCGCCCAGTACAGCGCTTCGTGGCCCCATAGGGAGCTACACCGACGGTCCCAGTGGCGCATTCCGCATGCGGTCCCCCACCCAGTACAGCGCTTCGTGGCCACAGAAAGAGCTCCACCGAAGGTCCCACGGTTCCCCCGCCCAGTACAGCGCTTCGTGGCCCCGTAGGAAGTAAGGTCCCAGTGGCGGCGTCCGCATGCGGTTCCCCCACCCAGTACAGCGCTTCGTGGCCTCATGGGGAGCTCGCAGTGGCGCAGTCCGCATGCGGTTCCCCCGCCTAATACATTGGTTCGTGGCTCCAGGGGGAGCTCCACCGAAGGTCCAGGGAGGTGTACCACATGCGTTTCTCACGTTTCGTGGCCCCAGAGGGAACTCCACCGAAGGTCCCAGTGGCGCAGTCCGCATGCGGCTCCCCCACCCAGTACAGCGTTTCGCGGCCCCAAAGGGAGCTCCACCGAAGGTCCCAGTGGCGCAGTCCGCATGCGGTTCCCCCGCCAAGTACAACGCTTCGTGGCCCCGAAGGGAGCCCCACCGAACGTCCCATTGGCGCAGTCCGCATGTGCTTCCCCCATCGAGTACAGCGTGTCGTGGCCCCATAGGGAGCTTCACCGAAGGTCCCAGTGTCGCAGCACGCATGCGTCCCCCCCACCCAGTACAGCGCTTAGTGGCCCCAGAGGCAGCTTCACCGAAGGTCCCAGTGGCGCAGTCCGCATGCGGTTTCCCCTCCCGGTACAGCGCTTCGTGGCCCAATAGGAAGCTCCACCGAAGGTCCCAGTGGCGCAGTCCGCATGCGGCTCCCCCACCCAGTACAGCGGGGCTTCACCGAAGGTCCCAGTGGCGCAGTCCGCATGCGGTTCCCCCGCCCAGTACAGCGCTTCGTGGCCCAGTAGGGAGCTCCACCGACGGTCCCAGGGGCGCAGTTCGCATGCGCTCCCCCCATCGAGTACAGCGTGTCGTGGCCCCATAGGGAGCTCCACCGAAGGTCCCAGTGTCGCAGCACGCATGCGTCCCCCCCGCCCGGTACAGCGTTTCGTGGCCCTATAACGGGGCCCCACCGAAGACGGTTGGGTCCTTCGCGAGGCTAATTTGTATTGTGCGTTGACAGGGACGGTTGGCCTGCGCGCAGAAAGCAAGCAATATGTAGGCACCCCCGCCACCCCTGTCAAAAGCCAACGCAAAGTGGTCGCGGGGTGCCCGCGTATCCTCCAGAGTTGGAGGCAAAAAGCATTTCGCATTGTTTTTTAACCAGGGATGGTGTGGGGGCGTCTCATTAGCTCAGGTTGGCTGCCGGTCGCCAGGAGGAGGCGGTGTTCTGCAATACGGAACAGTGATCGAGGGGGGGGGGGAAAGGGAGGGGTGGGGAGGTCCAGGGTCAGATTACCGCCCCCCTCCTGGTCCCAGCAGCCCTCCCTCCC